ATCCCTCCTCTCCTCCCCATCCTCCCTCTCCTCCCCATCCCTCCTCTCTTTCCTGTTCCTCCTGTCCTCCCCATCCTTTATCTCCATCTCACCTTCCTCTCCTCCCCATCCCTCCTGTCCCCACACATCCCTCTTCTCCTCCCCAACATCCTCTCCCCATCCCTCTTCTCCTCTCCCCATCCTTCCTCTCCTCCCCATCCTCTCCTCCCTTACCCTCCTCTCCTCTCCCCATCCCTCCTCTCCTGCCCCATTTCTCCTCTCCTATCCCCATACCTCCTTTCTTCCCTGCTTCCCAAGGACAACTGGAAAGGTCTGGGTGGGTGGGTGGGTGTACATTTTAGCTACCTCCTTAGCAAAAATGGAAGTGCCACAGAGATCCCATCCCCAAGTCCCTATTCTATCCAATAGCATCTGGAGCAGCTTTTTTTAGTTGGTCTCACTGTCTCTAGAGGCCTACCTCTCCTTCTCCAGGGCTTAGGTTCTCCCAGCAATGTGGGCAGCTGACCCCCACATCCCTCTGCCCTACAGAACCTGTATCGACTGGAAGGGGACGGCTTTCCCAGCATCCCTTTGCTCATTGACCACCTGCTGCACTCCCAGCAGCCCCTCACCAAGAAGAGTGGTGTTGTCCTCAGTAGAGCTATACATAAGGTGAGCCAGGCACAGCCCAGCCCACGCCACCCACAGCTGAGCTGTGGGGTATTGGGTTCCCCGGCCACTAGGCCAGAGCAGGGAATACTTCAAAGTCCCTAGTCTAGAGGGCGTGAACAGACTCCTTACTCCTTGTAAGCTTTGCTCTGAGATTTGGGATGTCAAGGCTCTTTCCCTCCGGGGGGGCTGTGCAGAGTTGGCTCTCACTGAGTCCCCTGCCTGGTCCCTTGAAGGCATCTGAGTTTGTGATCATGCTGGGGTCCCACCTCCATTTCAACTCCAGTAAACCAAGCCTCTGAATTGAAAAACATAACATTGGTTGAAGAGGTGTTCTGCCCTCCCCAAGGCCCAGCACCCTTGCTCTTCCATGATTCTGGTTTCCCAACTCCTCCTCTCCCCCAGGACAAGTGGGCCCTGAACCATGAGGATCTGGTGCTGGGCGAGCAGATTGGGCGGGTGAGTGGTCCTGCCAGCCCTCTGTGTCTCTGCCTTACACCCCTTCCTGCTAGCACAACCCCAGTCACACCTGAGCACCCCCCCAACCAAAGAGCTTTCCCACCTCTCTGCCTCAGCTGACTCCAATCTCCACCCAGCGCCCTGCTCGGCCACTGCCATGCACAGTCCTCCAGCAAACTGAAGAGTGCCCACCCTGAGAAGTCCCTGGGAGATGGGTCACCTGCACCCTCCCCCACTACCTCTGGGCCCTGCCTCCCTTGGTGTCCTCCTATGCACTCAGAGCCACATTCAGCTAATTGGAGCCATAAACTGTGGTGAAGGTCCCTACATGACACAGTTAAAGTTTTTTTTTATATTTTTTTAATTTTATTATATTTGTGTGAGTGTACCGTCAAATCAGATCTGACTGGTACAGGAGGAGATTGCCCCTCCTTCCCTGGCAGAGCATCTGGTGGATTTGAACCGTACACCTCTGGGATTGTAGTTGCAGCTTCTTGCCACTGACATAGTTAAAGTTGTAGTTCAAATGCACCACAGAAAAAAGGCCTGGTGATCTTAACGATTGCAACCAGGAAGTCCCTGGGGAGCAGTTGGTTCTCCGCTGATCCCTGGGTCCCATGAATCAGAGTCAACTGAGGACAGCAGGTCTGGTGTGGTTCTGAAGCAGGAAACAGGCCACCTTCGAGACTCAGAATGCTTCTCATATCAAGTGGAAGTCACAGTTGAGGGTCCCATGTCTCTCCTCTCAAGGGACATGGTGCCAAGTGGCAAGTGCCTTCCTTGCTCCATCTGTGCTTCTGTGCTTACTGTCTTGGTCCCTTGGCCAGACTCTCAGCTGCTAGAGTCAAGGCTGGTCATTGCCACGTGGTGGGGGCACTTGCTGAAGAGGGGCCAGGGACAAGGCTGCTGGTCCTCTGAGCCAACAAGAACAAGTTGGTTCAGGGAAGACTTTGATAGGAGCCCAAGGCTGTTTCAGGGAAACTTCGGTGAGGTGTTCAGCGGACGCCTGCGTGCTGACAACACCCTCGTGGCCGTGAAATCTTGCCGAGAGACACTCCCCCCTGACCTTAAGGCCAAATTTCTGCAGGAGGCAAGGTGGGTTATAAGCTTCTCACCACAAGGTCCCCACTGGAAAGGGTTCTTCTATGTGGCACTCCCATAATAACTTCCAGGGTCTCCTTCAGTCCTCACAGTCCTCTGTACAGGCAGTGAGTGCCCTCCCCATATTGTACAGAATTGGGGGCGACGGGTTTGGGAAAACCCAGTGACCCACTCAAGGTCACACATCCTCAGGTGCCAGGCTCTTCTGCTGCTCTTGCCCACCCCGCCTGGTTCCATTGGGGCTCCTGGGGCTGGGGAGGCCAATATGCAGGAAGCGAGGGGGGACGAGGCCATGTAGCATCTAAGCAGCTGGCCCCCGCAGGATCCTGAAGCAGTACAGCCACCCCAACATCGTGCGTCTCATTGGTGTCTGCACCCAGAAACAGCCCATCTACATTGTTATGGAGCTGGTGCAGGGTGAGCAAGAGGTGCAGTGCATCAGGGATGGGGGACTCTGCCCAGCCAGGAGAGCTCCAGCTGGAGGCTCAATGAGACTTCTCCTGCCGCCAGGGGGCGACTTCCTGACCTTCCTGCGGACAGAGGGTTCCCGCCTGCGGGTGAAGACCCTGCTGCAGATGGTGGGAGATGCAGCAGCTGGTATGGAGTACCTGGAGAGCAAGTGCTGCATCCACCGGTGAGCAGGGTGGGGAGTGAGGTCCAGCCCTGCACACGCGTCCTGGCCAGAGTTGGGAAATGCTGTCCCCTGGGCTCCTTGAACACCCACCCTTATCCCCTGACACCAGCTCTAAAGGTGTCACCTGCCTCTCCTGCAGGGTTTGGCTCATGGCTGAAACCACCGTGCTCCGTGCAGCCTGGGCAGGTGGCTGGGACTGTGTGGACATTGACTGACGATGTCCTTCCTCCCCCAGGGACCTGGCTGCTCGGAACTGCCTGGTGACAGAGAAGAACGTCCTGAAGATCAGTGACTTTGGGATGTCCCGGGAGGAAGCCGACGGGGTGTACGCGGCCTCAGGGGGCCTCAGACAAGTCCCAGTGAAGTGGACTGCCCCTGAGGCTCTTAACTACGGTATTTGTCCTTGCCTTCTTGTGGCCACAGAGCTGGAGGCTGGACATGGGTCCTGTCACCCCATGATGATATCTGTCAGGCCCTCAGGACTGCTGTAACGACATGTCACAAAGTAGACAGTGTTAACAGAGCTGGATTGTCTCACTGTACTGGGAGCCAGAAGTCTGAAGTGAAGTCTCAGTTATGTCAGTTCTCTCTGAGGGCTTTTGTGGGGGGAGTTGATCCACCTCTCTCTCCTAGCTTCATTGTGATACTTGGCATTCTTTCACTGTTTCAAAATGTGTCTTCACATGGTGTCATACAGGATTAGGACATATGGTATGGCCTATGACTCCACTGATAATATATCAAGTCCATAATTCCTCAACCAGGCCATAGTCAGCGGTACAGGCAGGCATTAAGACTTGTACACACCCATTTAGGGACACGGAGCACTTGACAGCTCTGCCTTCTGCTGACCTCACTCTGGCCACGTGGACAGACATTTGATCTGCCTCCCTCCCTCTGCAGGCCGCTACTCCTCCGAGAGCGATGTGTGGAGCTTTGGCATCTTGCTCTGGGAGACCTTCAGCCTGGGGGCCTCTCCATACCCCAACCTGAGCAACCAGCAAACCCGGGAGTTTGTGGAAAAGGGTAAGGAACTCATCTGAAGATCAGTCAGGTCCTCTTCCCAGGTTCCTGCTGGACTCTTCTTGGCTCCCTTGCTTTCCCTGTCGCCACTGAAACAGAATGGAAACAGTGTTGTCAGTACCATTAAGTGAGCATCTGCTATGTGCTGGGCCGTGCATTATTCCCATCACTTTTCACAGAACATGAGGTGTCCATATTACAAATGGGAAAGCTGAAGCTTGCAAGGTCACACAATTAGCACACCATGAAGTTGTGATTAGAAGCCAGACCTCTGTGTACCCTTGGGGCCCTTGATGCATGAGAGTGAGTCCCTAAGAATCATGCATCTGAAGCAGCAGTTAGTGCTCCCGGATCGTCCCCTCAGGGCCAGCATGGGCCCTCAGACCCACTCCTCATGCTGCGTGTGCTGTGCCTGTCCTCACAGGGGGCCGCCTGCCCTGCCCGGAGCAGTGCCCCGATGCCGTGTTCAGGCTCATGGAGCAGTGCTGGGCCTACGAGCCGGGGCAGCGGCCCAGCTTCAGCATCATCTACCAGGAGCTGCAGAGCATCCGAAAGCGGCACCGGTGAGGCTGGGACCTCTCCTCAAGCCAGTGGCTTCTGCAGGCAACATGGTGCCTCCGCTGGACAGTTCGCCCCTCACAGTCCAGGGCTGCAGCCGCCCGCTTCCACACTGCCAACTGGGATGACTCCTCTGTCTGCTCAGCCTGCCTGCCCCTGCCAGGGCTGCCCCTCCGTGGCAGAAATAATAAAACCACTTGTGCCCAGCAAGTACTTGGCGTGCATACTACTTTAGAATGGCCAGGGGCCTGTACTAAGGCCATGAGGAAAGGGAAGTGAATCCAGGAAGGATTTATGGGGTAGAACTGACATGATTTACTAGCCACTTGGGTGTGAGTTGTGAGCAGAGTATCAGAGCTTCTGACCATAAGGTGGCGTCATTCCCAGAAATAGGATCACAGGATGCTGAGCAGAGCTGCAGGAGGGTGTCGAGTTTGAGGGGCCTGTAGAGAGAGATAAATATTGAGCTCAGGTGGAGGTGATGGCTCATGAGAGAGGTTTGAAGGTCATTAGCTTCTAAGTGTTACACACTATGGATATGTATGATAATCACAGCAAATGCAGGATGAGATGAGGAGAAAGTGAGGAAAGTACTATCCAAAGGAGACTAAAGGGGCTGAAGAGAAACATTCTCCAGAGAGTTTTTCTGTTAAACAGTGGGGTGATCTGGTCTGGAGCCCTCGCTGCTCCCCAGCTCCCACTGAAATGCTAAAATCATCTGAAACATTTCCAGCAGCGAAGGTCAAACAGATAAGGAGGTATATACAAATGGAAAAATCAAACCAGAGAAAATGTATAGCAGAAAAGAACAAAGAAATAGGAACTCTGAGGTCAAGTGGCTACCCCTGGAGAAAGCTTAAGAAACAGTTGGTATCTGTTTGAAAGAAAGCCCTGTAAATTGTTGAAGTCCCTGTGTGGTGCAAATAAGTTTGCCTGAAGATGGATAGTTCAAACCCACCCAGCAGGGCCATAGAAGGAAGGGCTAGAGATGTGTTACAGCTCAGAAAGCCCTGTGGGGCCATTTCACTTTTTTTTTTTT